TCTTCAAAGCCTCGGTGCTGTCAGGCTGCTTAGCATGAAGCTTCACAATCTATATTTATCCCTCTGTTACATCCTTCCTTTTGTCTCCGACATCTTCCCAGTTTTTATTTGATTTTATTACTTTAAACCCACGTCAATCACTAAATCAGCTGCAGGCCGTTGCTTGATGATTTCATGTGTCTGCAGCTTTGTATCTTTTTAAAGTAAAAATCACAGCCTGTGTTGTGCAGACATGTATGCAAATGCATTTGTTTAGGAGTACTTTAGTGATGAGGGAGCACGGTGGGAAGCTGTCCCTGCAGGACAGATGAGATTTATAGCACATCGTTACAAATACCTAAATAAACAGAAGATTGTGGCTGGAGCTGAATGTTTTTTTTTTAATTATTGATATGCTTTCTTGTGCTTTTGCAAAAAAAACAATAATAATAATAATAAAAAAAGAAAAGAAAGCTTGAATGTGAATAAAAACATTTTTAAATACAATAAAATGAATGTTAGGGAAGTGTTTTGCTCTTGACTCACTCTGCTTATTGAATAATGTTTAAAGTAATGTTTAGACTATGATGTTTGCAGGTCTGCAGAGAGAGCAGGGTGCAGGCAGTGGAAAAGCTAGAGAGGTGGAGATATAGACCAGAAGGTTAGTCACACCAAGAATTCATTGTAGGGGAAAAAAGAGGGACACAGTGGAACTGTGATGTTACAGGAAGTGGAATGGTCCAAAGCTACTGAGAGTGGAAAATAGAAGTGAGTCAATCAATCAATTAGACTTTATTGTCACTTCAGCCATATACGGTTTGTACACAGTGAGGCGAAACAACGTTCCTCCACGACCAAGGCGCTACATGCAACATAAACTTACAACATAAAATAACAGGGAAATCACTAAACTATCTAACTAAGGACAGAACAGACTGACCTAACATGACATGTCCTCTCTAAGTAGGTAGTACAAAGGAAAAAAGAAAAACCGTAAACATACGTAGTATGTAGGTAAAGAATCATTAAAAAAAACATGCAAAGAAAAACATGAGTGTGTGTGTGTGTGTGCGTGCGTGCGTGTGTGTGTGAGCATGTGTGCATGCGCGCGTTTATCAGTCCAGTCCCTTGATGTTGAGGAGATGAATGGCTTGTGGAAAGAAGCTGTTGCACAGTCTGGATGTGTGTGCCCGAATGCTTCGGTACCTTCTTCCAGATGGCAGGAGGTTGAAGAGTGTGTGAAAGGGGTGTGACCAATCAGCCACAATGCTGGTGGCTTTGCGGATGCAGCGTGTAGTGTAGATGTCCTTAATTGAGGGGAGAGAGACACCGATGATCTTCTCTGCTGTTCCCACCATCCGCTGTAGTGTCTTGCGGTCAGAGATTGCACAGTTACCAAACCAGGCAGTGATACAGCTGTTCAGGATGCTCTCAATAGTTCCTCTATAGAAGGTAGTCAGGATTAGTGGTGGAAGCTGGGCCCTTGTCAGTCTTCTCAGAAAGAAGCAGATAGGAATGGGTTTGGGTGTGATGAAAAGGTGTACAGGACAGTATAGACCAGCCATGTTGTCTGATTTAGAGACATTGTCCTTGAGGAGAAGACGGAGGATGGACAGGACCAGGAATGAGTCCATCAGAGGAGCAGCTCATGTTAGATGATCAGACTGAGCTGGTGTGGAAATGTCCAGAGGAGGGACAGTGATTACAGAAGGATGCTGAGGTTGGAGCCACCAGGCAGGAAGCTGAGAGGAATTACACATACTGGTTGACTGTCTCTGTAGTCGATGCTTCTGTTTTCTTTATATTTTCCCATTTTACTGTAATAAAAACAACTCCGATGTTTCTCTGCATCCTTGTGAATAAAAAGGAAGGTAAATACCTGCGGGTACGCCACACAGAACTACATAATGTTGAACATTTTAAGTTATAGCCCTTTAAAAAGGATTAAGCAACTTTTTTTTTCAAAGGTTTATAAAATTAAATAGTAGAAAAAAGACATCATGATAACATGACTGATGCTGTGCTGGTCATGTAAACTGATATTTTTTATATTTTCACTGTCATCACTTTTGAAGTTGATGTTTGCTCTCTTAGTCGTTTGTCAACTATTTGCTCATTTTGCCCTAAAAATCTGTTAGGGATTTTATCAATCACCTAATGCCTGCACTCGAAGAGAAAAGAGACAATTAACCACACATTTACTGTACTGCAGTCCGGGCAGAGCTGCTCACAGAGTGAGACTCACGAAACTGCAAGGGGATGCGGCCCTGAGAGCTTTATTTATACAAGAACCGAGAGATAAGACAGCAACGTGTGTGTGTGTGTGTGTGTGTGTGTGTGTGTGTGTGTGTGTGTGTGTGTGTGTGTGTGTGTGTGTGTGTGTGTGTGTGTGTGTGTGTGTGTGTGTGTGTGTGTGTGTGTGTGTGTGTGTGTGTGTGTGTGTGTGTGTGTGTGTGTGTGTGTGTGTGTGTGAGATAAGGAAGAGGTCAGTGTCTTGAGTTGCAAGGAAGTTACAAGATGAGCAAAAGTAATACATCTGGGTAATGAAAAACATAATGATAACAATAAAACATAACATCTCTATAACAAAATGTCACTAAATGAGTTACAACCCGTCCCTCAGATTCATTTGTTCTCTGTGAATAGAGGATTTGTGGGAGTTGTGAAAAATCTCACCATCAACATCATCCAAGGATTGTTGCAACGGCCTAAACCGATCACATACATGTTAACGTTTTAGCTGCAAACCTGAGTCTGTTTTCACAGATCGTGTGTGTGTGTGTGTGTGTGTGTGTGTGTGTGTGTGTGTGTGTGTGTGTGTGTGTGTGTGTTAATAGTCATAGCTGAGTCTCACAATGTAATTGGATGATGGGATTCATGACAACAGGTGTCATGCTAGTGTGTGTTGGTACGTCAGAACCTCTGTCAGTAGTATTGTTTGAGGTTTGTGTGTGTGTGTGTGTGTGTGTGTTGGTCTGTTTTTAGTCTCTTTACAGTTAATTAAGACTGGTGCTTTCTCCCTTTTAAACTGAATTGAGCCCCATCTCTCTTTAAAGCTCCCTCCTCTCAGGGGAAATTAGCCCAGCTCTCATTTTACCACCCAGACTGCCTGTGAGTGTCGTACACGTGAGAAGACATCAGAGGGCTCTGGACAACAGTAACATAACTCTGCTGTGGTTGTTGCTAAGGCTTGTAAAGTGACAGTAATACTCTCTCCTCACAACAGCCTTATGCTAACACATCTGTGATTGCCGATGCAGTGGTGGGTGGAAATATGCGACTCACGAGGTGCTGTGCTGAACTCTTTCATTTCCCACTCCGACTCAAAAGGCACAACAGAGCATTTCCATGCCAACGTGACTGGTGCAGCTTTATAGCCACGTTCAAATTGTTAAAGGGACTGCACACAGCTTTAATGTGCATGCTACATAAGAGTGCAACAAAACATCGAGCCACACAAAATAGCTCTTTCTTTGATTACACAGGAATGTGCAAAAGTTTTAGGCTGGTGTGAAATAAATGCTACAAATAGGGCTGCACGATATTAGGAAAACCTGCGATATGCGATAACAGTGATTAATATTGCGATGGCGATATTACTTGCGATAAAAGAACTTAACTCAGGAACAAAAATAATCAAAAACAAAGAAATTAAAAACTGACAAAACAGATCATAAAAAAGAGATGTGAGGAAAGGGAAGAAGAAAATGAAGATCAGTGGATCCCGGGAAAAGTAGAATCAGCAGAAAGAGCAGAACAAAGCCAACTCAGGTGTTTGCTAACCATCAAAATTAGGTGCCGTCCATCTAACCTACAGAAATCACCCATTTGGCCAAATGGGTGACGGTCTCTATTTGATTTGTTAATAAAACATGATGCTTCCGTTTGATTGGCAGACTGCATTATGTTTTGAAAACATTTGAGCTGACCATTCATTACGATATTTATTTGTTCTTTGCGATATGCATATGGCTCATGCTAATATCGCGATAACAATATATTTGCGATATATTGTGCAGCCCTAGCTGCAAACAATGAATGCTTTCAAAAATGTAAATAATGATTGAATTTTACAAAATGACAAAAAATAAACTACGTGAGTGACCCCAAACATACAGCCACATTCACGAAGAACTATCTTCTAGTGATGGTCTGGCCCCCACAGAGCCCCGATCTCAACATCATGGAGCGTGTCTGGGATTGCATGAAGAGACAGAAGGATGTGAGGAAATCTACATCCAGAGATGATCTGAAGTCAGGTCTCCAACCTACCAGCCCAGTTCCTAAACAACTGTAGCTAGAAGAACTGATGCTGTTATGAAGGCAGAGCGTGGTCACACAAAGCTTTGTTTTGATTTAGATTTCTCTTTGGTTCAGTCGCTGCTTTTTGATTGATAAAAAGAAACCATTAACCCTTTCATGTTTTTAAAGAGACACTTAATCAGTCAATCAAGGCTTTATTTATAAAGCGCCTTCCACGCCCATTACGGGAAGCCAAGGTGCTGAAGAACAAAATACAATCACGATAAAATAAATTAAAACATTGAACATGAAACAACATAATTAAACGCAAAACATCTAAACTGCATAAAAGTTAGAACCTGTTGAATGCAGTAACCACCTGCATGCTTATGGGGTGAATCTGCTTCAGAAAAATGTCAGCAAAAGTATTTTGCAGGAAAAAAAATTGTTTTATTCACAGAAATACAAGAAAAATCTTTCTGCAAAAAACATTTATGACCAAGTTTCACTAATCATACTTAATGTATCCAGAGTAATAATAGCACATTGTATTTAAAATATACAAATAAATATGCTAAATGTACAACTGAGACCCCGTCATTAGCATGTGCTTTGTTCTAATCAAGGTTGAATCTAAAAACAGGATGTGCTGCTGTGAGATTCTGAGCAGCAGCATCCAGATGAACATAAACACCTGAAGCTGTAGCGGTGGTTACAAAACACCAAGGGAGACTCGCAAATCATCTCTTTCTGCCTCTGACTCTTTCGTTCCCTTCAAGGTCACTTGTCCCATGTACTGGTGAGCGAGGAGGAGCATGGTAACCATGACAACTGCTCAACAGACCCCACACCAGACTGCTCACCCCCCTCCCCTGACACGGCCCTGAAGAACATAGAGAGAGTCATCCGCCCACAGGTGAATGTGCACACTTGTTAATGTGTTGTTGGGCACCTGATGCGTTATTGAACATGGCACCATCCACCCACAGGCACACACACACACACACACAGACACACACACAGACACACACACACACACACACACAATTATAAACATCTGTCTGTTTTTCTCCTCCTAATTGTTTCTGTTCCTAGCACTCGTGTAGTGTTGTGTCACGTGTGTACGTAAACATTACATTCTGTTGATGAAAACCCAGAAAAGGCCTTTCACTTTAAGGTTTGGCGATTTTCTTTCTGAAGGTAGGTTTCTGCAGTCATGGTTTTTCATGTGGCGTCTATTTAGGGTGGAAATCTGTCTTGTTTAATTGGTCCCCAAATCCCCAGATGACTATAGCTAGTGGTACAAGCGTGCAGAACAACTTGTGCAAGTGGAAGAGTTTGCCTGTGAGAGGGTATGACTTCTCTGCGACCCTTATGTGGTTCTGTACTGGACAGCGACATTCAGGTCCACTTTAAGCAGGATTTAGGACAGTTACTGCATCCTTCAGCAATGAAGACACTTTGAAAACCAGTTGCAAAAAATGTTTGAAGGCATTTGGTCCTGCCAGCGAGCTGTCCAGCTTCCTCTGTCCTCCACAAAGATGATGCATTTCCAAAAATCAAGTGGATGAGGACATATTTTCTATTTGGTCAAAGAAAGTTGGAGTTATGAAACCTGACTCAAAAGATGGTTACTTTAAACAACAATATCCCAGTTGGCTTGTCCAAGGCCCACATCTGCAACGTTTAAGCCGCTCTAATCCTCTCTAACACTCGTTATGTTTTAGCTTTTACCTTCATTTGTATGTTTCAGTGTTTTGTTGAACTTTAAACTCAGTTTACCTTAAATCCTCTAATACAGGCCTGGGCCTTTATTTACCCAAGCACATCCTGGTTTGGGCCTTTATTGGAAGGAGGCCAGAATTAGAGGGCAGCAGTAGCTCAACAGGTTGAGCAGGTTGTCCAGTAATCAAAAGGTTGCAGGTTTGATCCCGGCTCCAGACATAGAATTCTGCTGTTGTGTCCTTGGGCAAGACACTTAACCCACCTTGCCTGCTGGTGGTGGTCGGAGGGACCGGTGGCGCCTGTGCACGGCAGCCTCGCCTCTGTCAGTGCGCCCCAGGGCAGCTGTGGCTACATCGTAGCTCATCACCATCAGTGTGTGTGTGAATGGATGAATGATACACTGTAGTGTAAAGCGCTTTGGAGTCTTTACTCTGAGAGGCGCTATACAAGTGCGGGTCATTTATCATATCATTAGAGGTACCAGTGGAATGAATAAAAACTAGATTTTGTGTCTCATTGAACCTATAAAACACAAGGTTTGTTTAATGAAAATGTACAGTTAACATTGTATGTATGTATGCATATAGAACATTTACAACAAACACTGTTATTTCGCTGGAGAATTTACCCAATGCTGAAGCAATCGACATAACAAACTATCTTATGTCTCATATTACACTGCAAACCAAAAGCCACGGAAATAAACATTCAATGATGAACAAGAGTCTGCTTCTAGACCTGCAGAAAAGGGACACACAACATTACAACAGGAGCAAGCTATCACTGCGTCAACTTGATGAAAAAATGTAAAATCAACATTGTTTAACTGAACAATCACACGATAATAAATCAGTGCATTAAGTGTCAACCATAGCCTTAAGACCTGTGTTGAATGTGCCCTAGTCCATACTTATGAGAGCACCATGTGAGCACCTGTGTGTGTACACGCGCTTGTATAAGGTTTCTCTATAGGAGCGTCCAATAGAGAGTGTGAGGGGCCACAGGTCTGCCCCCCAAAGATGCGTAGGAGATGGAGGGAGCTCCAAAGCCCAGAGATCCAGGAGCTGCCCCAGAGCACAGACACCCCAAGGAGACCGCGACCAGAAAAGCCCCTGCCCCCCTCGAGAGGCGCAGAGGATCGCCTCGGGGGGCCACAACCAGCAGCCGGCAGAGTCCCGAGATATATCAGCGGCAAGCCCTCAGGCCCGCCCGCAGCCCCCCACCCCCAAGCCGGCTGAGCCCGGGACCCAGCAACCTGGGACCCAGGGGCGATCACCCCTGCCGGGGACCCAGCAGAGCCCAGGGACCCAGATCCCACCAGGCAGCCATCGGGAATGATCAGGCAGATGCCAAAAATCTTAAACCCCCTGACCCGGGAGCCATGACCCAGGCAGACCAAGGCACCACACTCCACACCAGGTGTGGCAGGGAGAGGGGAGACAAAAATCTATATAATCAAAAGAAGTCCCAGGAGAAGGGAGGAATCAAAGGCCTCACCTGACATATAAAGTCATACACAAACACAGTCACACACTCCCTCCCTCATGCTCTCACATACACATACAACCAAAGACTTACAAAAATGCACGCCCGACACCCACTCATGCTCCCCATGCACACCCTATTCACTCTGGTCCTGGTACTGCTGCACATGGGGTACAACCATTACCGGTTACCAGAGTTCGACCCTTTGCGCTGGGGTGCTGATGAGCAGGCTCCCCCGCCCAACACTGAACAAAGCAACCCACCACCCCAGACTCCAACCAGACGGCCAGATCTCCCTCCTAGCCTCCAGCCCCGGGAAGCCAAGTGATAATAGAGGTGTGCTAAGACCCCTAGTCTCCCTCCGCCTGCTCCAATATGGTGTTAATGAGTGTTGATGAGGTGTATTCCATGGCTGTGGTGAGCGGGCAGTGTGGGCATCGTCTGGCCTACGCCAGCTGATGCCACCACACCACCCCACTTGCACCCACAGCCCTCAGTGTCTAAGTGCAGTTTAAAATTGGAAGTGGGCACCAGCACTCGGGATGAGGCTGAACAATCCCCCTGCCAAATGCCGTTGAATGTGCTCACTCCCAAGGCCCTAAGTGTGTGTTTGCGTGGAATGTCGTTGGTGGAAGTGTTTAAGGTGCAAATAAAATTGGGGGGGCAGGTTGCCACAGGAATGCGGAAATGGGGTCCATACCCGCACCCCCTGACTTGTCCACCCCCCAAGGTCCTATGTGCATGATTGTGTAATGATGTGAGGGAGCAGGTGGAGAAAAATGTATGGGGATGGGGAGGAATGGCTGGTTGGGCTTAGCCCTCCAGGGAGCCAGCTCCCCCACTGGCCCCAATAGGCACCTCTGTTGTCAAAATGCCACCCAGGGCATGGAGACCCCAGCCCATCTTGCCAGGGCCCAAAGCAGCAGCATCACAGAGCCTCACAGAGTCCGTGGGCACCAACCCAGCCCCACCCCAACAGAATATCTACTCCCATCCCTGCATTTGCACAACTTCCAGAATATATGACATAGGACATCCAGGTAAGGTTGGGTCTTCCCCCTCCTGGACATCCTGATCACACAAATTTTGGGCAGTTTTACACCCAGTCAACAATGTAAATAAGGTTACTTCCTGACCCAGCTCTGCAGTTGTGGATGCAACGTCGTCTGAAACCGACTTGATCCTTCCCACCCCCACCCCCCTCCACGTGGCCACACCAGTAATGTTGATGCCTGCCAATATTAGAGACCGGCCTTTATTTACCCCCGCTGGCAGCGAGACCGGCTAATGTAGGAGACCCGGCCGGTAATGGCATACAGGCCAATATGAGAAGATTGATGGTATTTTGTTTATTCTGATCTTATTGGACTATTGAAAGTGATTAAAATATGCAACAAAACCAAAGAATTGGTGACGTAACTTACAGCGGTTTGGGTTCGAACACACTTGAGCAAATGGGTCTGGTTCATTAAATACATTTTATACATTTATTGTTGTTTTGCATGTTTGACCTTACCTAGAACTTCAGATGCAGATGTTTGAATATCAAGTTTAATCATCCTTGCCTTAATAAATCAAATAATTTTTACACCTCGTCAAAATATTAACGCATCATCCCACATCTGAATGTGCAAAAATGAAACACAAATATGCTGCCAGCTTATCATTTATTCACATAAGCTGTTAAAAGCATTTTATGTTGTAACACAGTGTTAAGATTTATTTTGCATTGTGCACTGCTCTACGGTTATAAGCATCCACAGTGATTGTTTCTGATTTGATTTATTCATATAACATTAACTCCTGGTGCTTATTTTAGTGGAAGTTTCAAAATAAAAGCACAACATGGCCAACAAATATCTAACGTGATCTATCAAATAAAGTGTTGAATGATTTTATCATTTTTACTGATATAGAATCACAAATCTGTGGAATTGTAATTATTTTTGGGAAGTGTAGCATAACAGAGACATATTCATTAAATATTTATAAAAGCAGCGATTCTTGCATTCTGAACCATACAGCTTCAGGTTTGACTTGATTAACGGCCATGTGCAACATCAGAATAGATTAATAAAATCTTACTGATCATGAATGTTTTGGAATCGGCAATTTAAATGCAACAAGTCGGCCTTATCAGTGACCTGAAGTAAATGTATTCCTCCCACTACTCTCTGAGTAGCTCTGATCCACAAGAGCAGTATGGATGTTGATAATTAAAGGCAGTTGTTTTCTCACCGACAGCATGATGTGACATTAGAGTAAAAAAATCCAGCTGAGCATCGGAACTCAAACGTTCTTCTGTGAAGATTTTATACTAAATTAATCCTCCGAGTTTTGAGTTATTAATGAGGCAGCTTCTGCTAAATTTCCTCCTTCTGACCAATTTCCTTAAAAGTTATCTCTAATGTCTTCACTTTCTGTTATGCGTGTCCTTTGTCCCTCTCCCTGCTTTATCGCAGAGCTATCTTTGGCATGTTAACTAAAGTGTGTAGAGGGCTCACATGCCGCACCCAGCGGGCCTCTGTTCAGCTTCAAGCATAATCAACGAGCTCCAGAGTTCAGTTTTATAGCTCATAATTAATCCTGAACAGTCATTTCATTTCATTTTAGTGCTCCCGCTGGCGGCAGCAGCCACTCACATCATCTCTGGACCCTCCATACCTTCTCTGCAGCTTGTAAATAACGTGACCTCGTACGGTGTAT